GTTATTTTCCATGATTTACACCATTTTACCCAATCGTTTCCTTTACCTCAAGTACTGGATGTTTTCTTTAGTATTAAAAGTAAATACACCTTGAAATTGTTAGGAAATATTTGTAGAATCAATTGTATTCAGTGCTATTTGTTAGCAAAAGCAGATTTTCATACTTTTCTAAACTTTGATTTTTGAATATTGTTGACTTGTTTGACCCGCCGTCAAATCTTCTGTTTTAACAGAACGTCAATAAAATGTGCACGTTCTGTTTAGAACACTATGATGGAGGGAAATATGTCTCGGTTTTTTAAAAAATGTTTTGTCACCAAGTAACCGCTCATCAAAATTAGTTTTTAGGAATGTATTACCGGGTCAGAAAAAAAGCTCTGTGAAATAAAAAAAAATAATCACTCCTGGCGAAAAAGGGAGACATATTTCCATCAATAATATGACAAACAAGACTGAGAATGATTTTCCGTCGGAAATACAACAAAGTTTTCTTTTAATCAGGAATTTACACATTTTGACAAGGTTTGGCAGTTTGCTTGTCACGTGATAGTTATGTAATACACATCAATGTGTTCCCCTAGATCCAGGCTTTCTAACAATGTATGCGAAGTACAGGTTTGGAGGGAGCAACTCGCAGAGAATGATTTGCTTGAATATGCCAAATAGGTGGGTCGCCACCTTGACAACACAATACTAGTATATAACTTTATTACACAACTGAAACCGCCAGAATGACTTAAAATGTAAATGTTTTTGAATCCAAAGTAGCCAAGACAAATTTGTCTATGTCTCATAATTAAGTATTTACAGAACCTTTGACTATTGTTAGTTATGAAATCATACTAATTTTCATCATGTCTTTATTCAAACGTCTGTGTAAACGTTGTGTGTTTGGAAGATCTATACGTAATTTGGTCATGCAACACGTTATTTTGCGTCAAATAAAATATTCTGTTCTATTCTATTTTGTTTTTACCCAAATATGTTTGTAATTTATCCTACTTTCCTATTAATATGTATATCCTTTATTACAGACTTGAATAAATATTGCCACTGTAACATATGCTTTTTTCACCAGTGGCCCCTATTTAATGTTGCCTCATTGGTCTATTAGTGTTATTCCCATTACATTAAACTACCTTGTATATGTTGTATAACGGATTATTAGTTCCCGTTCGAACGATATTCGAAAACGGGGACTTATAATTCGGTCTCCGTGCGTCCATCCGTCTGTCCGGAGTATATCTCAGAAACCATTTGACCGATTTTGTTCATTCTTTCCATGTGCCTAGTACTTTATGTGGGACATATGCATGTCCAATGGATTAGCGCGTCCAAGGACGTTCTATTTTTGAACTAGTTGAACCCGGAAATTACGCAATTACTTTCAAACTTCAAACACAAATTTGATTATCGTTATTATGTGTTAGTTTCTGTTGTTTCGAAGATTGAATTATTTATGACATTAATATTTCACTCACTAAACAATATTTCACTATATACGTGATTAAAAAGCAACTTAAATTGGGAAAAAATGTATCACGTTTCGTGTATAAACACTAGTGTAAAGAGGCGGCGGAGCGCTATTTTAGCCAAAATCGGCTAGTAAGACGTCATATGACACAGGTCAGTGCTGGGACAGCGCTTCCCGTGACGACACAACGGGACGAACGGAGTTAAACTCCATGGTGGACGCCGTTGAAGTATGCAAAGCATTGTGGGTCCATCCTTTAAACTAAATCGCTGTAGTTGGCCATTGGTCGTCGCAATGCGTTATTGGTCATCGCAATGCGTTATTGATCGTCGCAATGCCTTATTGATCGCTGCAATTGGTTATTTATCGTCGCAATGCGTTATTGATCGTCGCATTGCGTTATTGATCGCCGCAATGCGTTACTAATCGTCGCAATGCGTTATTGATCGCTGCAAGAGTTATTGATCATCGCAATGCGTCATTGATCGCCGCAGTGCGTTATTGGTCGTCGCAATGCGTCATTGATCGCCGAAATTTGGCTATTGATCGACGCAATGCGTTATTGATCGCCGCAATTTGGTTATTGATCGCCGCAATGCGTTATTGATCGTTGTAATTGGTTATTGATCGTCGCAATGCGTTATTGATCGCCGAAATTTGGTCATTCTTCGCCGATTGTATATATGGGCCACCGTAAATACACAGTTAAGGTATCCCGTCGCACTTTCACGCTAGTTTTGTGACTATGCGGTCCAAAGCTAGACAATCAAACAACCACCCAATATATCAATCGATGATTGAATTATATGGTGAGCTGGTGAGATATAAGATATAATATAAAGTGCAATATTTTATACACTGGGATTACAAATATGGATTGCCTCGAGAAAAATTACTATTTCAAAAACCGGGCGTGGTATAAAAATATTGCTCACAATTACGTGCATTTACAACAGTAACGTCCAAGATGCTGTCTCCACTAATGCTAAGCTATTGCTCAAATCACAAAACAATTATTTTGAATTATCATACATCTTACAATTTTAATTCTAAATTTTTCAAGCTTTCAGATATTTGACGATGACAGTTTTCAATGTACGTAAATTGACTATGAGTATAGAACGCGGCTGTTATATGGTCTTTAAATCCCCTGTCAATCACACAGTTAATAATATGCAGAATATACGTTTTGTCACGTGTGTACCGATTTATGGTGCTGTGTACCGCGACGTTACCGTGGTGATGAGGATTGTTTATTTGCATAATTGTTGTAACATACGTTGCTTGTGAAGATAATATATTGACATTATATTTCTCAGACAACAACCTAAATATTATTATTTTAAATTGTTTCTATATACTTTTGAAGCGTTTTAACCTCAAAGATACTGCTGACAATAGAGGGTAGTGTAATCATCTTATTTCCGAAATTGAGACCAAGTTGTTTAAAGACCTACACACAGATACGGCTTCCGTTTACGTGTTGTCAACTAAACACGGAGGATGTTGCATAAAATATATGCATAGATAGTACTAGAAGCATTAGTATGGGTTCGGGGGTTAGTTCCACGGGCGCTCGAGGGTCCGTTTTTACAATGCACAATATTTTTAAAAGGCGGCCTAATTTGTATCACCAGCGGGGCTGGAAGTCGCAGAGAAATTGCTAACTTTGTCATAGAATAAAAATTAACCTTGCGGTTTATAGTTAGTTATTCCCTGTACTGGTAAAGGCTCGGGCGGGGCGTGGCACACATTAAAAACAACTTTCACGCCATGAAAGTGGTGGACCACTGTGAGCCGCGCCTCGGTTCGCGATACTCTGCCAGTAAAAAAAGTGACGTCTGACTGTTTCTATGGTAAACGGCACCCGGAAGTCCCACTTGGTGGCCTGTCGATAACGCCGACACAGACCCCTAATGTCATATAAAACCTGCCACTGTGATGATTTCACTTTTTTCTAAAAGGGAAAACATTTCAAAGTAAAGCATCGGGTTTTCGTGTCGGTGGTCGCATACAAATTGAAAGTTAACTTTATGAAGTACTTTTTATATTTTTTTCATTCCAGTTTTAAACAGCCTTGTATCAACTGGTTTACACCCAAGAGTGGCATCCATATTCCGTCACTTTATTAGTGAGCTTCCATACATATATGTCATTACGCCTACTTACGCAAGATCGGTGCAGAAAGCAGAACTCACACGTATTGCCAATACTTTTTCACACATCAAAAACTTGCACTGGATTGTGTAGAAGACTCCAATGAAGGAACTAATTTGACAACAGATTTTCTATCTCATTGTGGTGTAAATTATACATATTTGCATACTCGGTCGACAGAACATAAACATCGAGGAGTTGACCAAAGAAATCTTGGGTTAGCATGGATACGACAAAATCTCAGGCCTAACGTATCAAGAGGAGTTGTTTACTTTGCGGATGACGATAATACATACTCAATTGAGATATTTGAAGAGGTAATACAGCGTATATTTTCATTCAGTTGTTAATATGACATCGCGTTTTTAAAAAATGAAATCTTGAACACTAGCAATATATTCACTCACAATATCTGACTATGCCAGTACATTGATTCCCTAATTATCTGCGGATTTTGTTAAAGTTCAGCAACTCTTATAATGTTGATGAATTATTTATAGCTATGTGCCTCGAGAGAAAAAAACCATTCAGTTGTGACGAAGTTATGTAAACTTTTTGGTTGAGTCCGGTTGCGATATACATCACATTATAAAAATTATGTTAAAATTTCAATTCAAATGAACGCAAAAATCATGTAATGCTCTTGTACTACAATGTACAAATTCACTGTATTCTAGTCCGAGTGAGTCAAGCTTCTACAATAATTGTAGCAAGCACATCATTGAAACACATTTTTTTGCATGAGTGCGTTTATTAGACCGTATTGTAAGGTGGTACTGGTATTCATTGTTGATGCTGTACATCAACCATGCCTTGTAACGCTGTTGATATCTGATACCTCAACGGGCGTCACAAGATAACATATCAGGGGGTTTGCTGGGAAGATCGTCTTGTTTCTCGGTGGTCCAAGGATAGAGTGCGCTAATGAATGGTGCTTTGCTGACAATAGTTCTGCATAAGGGGAATTATTCTCTGACATTCTATAAATACGTGTATTAGTTCAACCTAAGAGGTACTTGCAAAAGAGGTACTTGTCATTTTCTTTTATTTCGGAC